AGCCACCACGCCCAGCCTAATTTCTTTACTGCTCTTGTTCTTGCCTTCCATTCTTATGTTCTTTATTTGCTATTATTCATACTATTGACTTTACTTCCATATGCAAAGCAGAAAGATATTATTTCCACTCTATTGTGTTCCCCTTAATCTCCTACATCATCTTTTATTGGAATCTTCAGAGCCCTGATTCTAACAGTTGGTATCACTAAGGCTCCCAATGACCCAATGCCAAGTTTTCATTAGAACAGGGGTCCCCCAGTCCCCAGGCCACAGAGCAGTACTGGAAGCCTGTTAGGACCCGGGACGCACAGCAGGAGGTGAGCAGCAAGCATTGCCACTTAAGCTCCGCCTTCTGACAGAACAGCGGCATTAGAATATCATTAAGAGTGTGAACTCTATTATGAACTGTGCATGCAAGAGATCTAGGTTACAGGTTCCTTATGAGAATCTAATGCCTGATAATCCAAGGTGGAAGTTTCATCCCAAAACCATCTCCCCCACCCTGGTCCATGGAAAAATTGTCTTCCCTGAAACCAGTCCCTGGTGCCAATAAGGCTGGGGACTGCTGCCTTATAAAATTCTTTCAGCTTAAAAAGAGGGGGAAAAAAGATACACCCTCATACAGTTTCCACATAGAAATTATGACTTATTTTGTTAATAATTTTTACAAGATTAACAGAAATCAAGGAATATGTATAAAGATCCTAAGTGCCCACAGCACTAAAATATGAAAAATTAGAAAATAAAAACACTCATGTCAATAGTATCCTAATATAAAACAGACCTAAATCGGGAAAATACCTACCTTGTCATCAAGTTGTTTGTATAATTTGGCAATTTCTTCTTCACACTTTCTTCTTTCAGCATCAGTAAAATTTCCCATAACTCCAATTGTGGTTGCTGGTTTATCATTGGTAATAGCAATATCTTTATCTACTGTGAAAGCTTCCAAATTGGCTTTCTCTTTGTCAAACTGTTCATCAATAGGCACCGTCTCCCCTAAAATATGACAAAGTGGTTAATAAGAAACAACATGTCTAAAACTAATTTCAATTTCATTCCTTTAAAAAATTTTTTTTTTTTTGGAGACGGAGTCTCAATCTGTCACCCTGGCTGGAGTACAGTGGTGCAATCTAGGCTCACTGCAACCTCTGCCTCCAGGGTTCAACCAATTCTATTGCCTCAGACTTCTCATTAGCTGGGATTACAGCTGCCCAGCACCATGCCAGGCTAATTTTGGTATTTTCAGTTGAGATGGGGTTTCACCATGTTGGCCAGGCTGGTCTCTAACTCCTGACCTCAGGTGACCTGCCCACCTCGGCTTCCCAAAGTGCTGGGATTACAGGCGTAAGCCACTGCGCTCAGCGTCGTTCTTTTAAACTTTTTATTCTCTGATTGTGTTATTTTCAAATAATCTGTCTTCAAGTTCAGATGCTTTCTTCTGGTCAATTAATTCTACTACTGATGGTCTCTACTGCATTTTGCTCATTTTATTTTTCAGCTCCAGGATTTCTATTAGATTTTAAATAATTATTTCGATGTCTATTAAATTTCTTGATCTAGTCACTTACTGATTTTGCTGAACTATTTCTACGTTTCTATGCTCTAAATCTGTATTTAACAAACTTAAGATGACAAATTCTTAAGTTATTACCATTACGCCATCTGTTGAGTTCATTTTCAAGCCACTGAATGGTGTTCCGCAGGATCTTATTTTTTTCTTTTTCTTTTTCATACTTCTTTTTCCACTGTTCTGCAGTTAATTCCACATTGACACAAACTGTGTTCTTAATTGTTTTGGCCCTAAGAGATGTAATTGGAGGAAAAAAGGGATGAGACTGAAATTATTTTTAATTTTATCTATATGGAATATATGTATATATGGCTAAGAAATTTATTCTTGTCCAATAATCTCTTAGACTAAATACTAAAAGACACAACCTATGAGGTTATTTACAACCCAACTAAATTTGAGTCTGCTCCAAAATCCATCAATAGCTTAAAAAAAAAAAAATCACTAAAAATAAAAGACAAAGACCTATATTTTTCCAATTTGTTTGCAAGGCTGAATTAAGAAATTACTGTTGAAAGTCAAAGACGGAATCATCATTACTGATTTTCCTAATCATCTCATATAGATGTTAACCTGTCATGCATGTCTACAGGCCTAACACAGGATTATGTTTGCCAGGCTTTTACATCATTATTTGAGTCAAATGCTTATTTTCTTTAATACCAAATTACAGCTTGTCACATAAATTTGACTAAAATTACATCTGACTTTAATGTGTACTAAAACTTAAACCAAGTAGTATCAAAAACAGGCCCATCTTGTATTATCTGTCATCAATTCAAACTGAGTGTGTCTAGCACAAAACAATATGTACAAGTTGGAATAAGAGCTCACATTTTCCTACATTTTATAAACAAAAGGTCTATCTACATTTGGGTTTTGTACTTTCTTAACAACAAACCTTTGGCCAAATAAGAGTGTAGATTTTGTTTCAGATTCATTGTATGATGATGGAGAGCAGCAAATTACAATAGTGGTTCTACAGTTGCCACCTAATGAATCTTGAAGGATTCTTGTCATTTTACTATCTCGATATGGAACATATGTCTGCATACAAAAACAAAGAAAGAAAATAAGACCAGTGGGTTTCTGTACAATAAAATGTTATAAAAATATGCTACTTTAAATAAATTAAAAGGTTATTTCAGTTAACTATTTGATATTAAAATGTGAACTAGGATATACATACAATATTATAAACTCCCAAAAGACAACTAACTTACACATACTGATTCAAACACAGTGACTCTCTCTCTCTCCCTCTCTAACACCCATGCACACATATACACCTGTATTTAAATAATGCCCCATAAGGTAACAGGGAGATAGAAGACATGTATACTCACACTACCCTCAGCCAAAGCAGAAATGACATTTCCAAGAGCAGAAAGTGACTTGTTGATGTTTTTAGCTTCATCCAGCACAGCACCTTCAGCTCCAGTTTTACTAACCTATACATAAGATTTCAAAAGAACGAAACAAAATTACAAAAATTTTCTTTAAATTTTCTAAAATTTTCAGAGGTCATCAACAACCAGTAAAAAAGAAAAAAGAACATGAAAAGCTTCATGATCTTATTTGCCAAGCATTTACTCTTAGGTACCACCATTTCTTGAGTACTACTCTTAAGAGTTTGATTAGAGAGACATCAAATTTTATCTGTAGTTTGTAGGTACTCTTGAAAATAACCGCTTTAAATGTAAATTTGTAGTTCATTAATCTGTTAGTCCCCTTTGCTACATTAGAAAAGAGGAAACTTCTAAAACTGGCTAATGCATAATGTTGATGTTGTAACTATTAGAAAATAGAGACTGAGTTTAAACTCATTATATAAGCAAACCTGCTTCTTCTAAAAAAAATAAAAAATAAAAAAAAATAAAGTATCTAAATATCTATGTTATGTGGCTTTTTTTTTTTGAGACTGAGTCTCACTCTGTCACCCAGGCTGGAGTACAGTGGCTCAATTCCGGCTTACTGCAACCTCCGCCTCCTGGGTTCAAGCAATTCTCCTGCCTCAGCCTGCCCAGTAGCTGGGATTACAGGCTTGTGCCACCACGCCCAGCTAGTATCTATGTTAAAGATAGGTCAGACCAATAAATTAGCAATGTTGGCTGAAGAAACAACTTAGGAGAATTCTCAACATTAGATAATCTTTGAAAGATGTGTATGACTTCACAACAGAACAGAACAGATGTATCATTCTAAGCAGAAGAAACAAAATTAGCACAACAGCAAAAATGGTCACAGAGGTCCCTATTATAACATTCAAACTTAATTTGATACAGACGAGAATCAGACTGTATAGAATTGTAATAATGAAACAATCATCCAAAGGAAAGAAGCAAGTCCAACCAAACCAGAAAAGACTAATGGACAGTTACCAGTTTTAATAGGGACCCCGCTGGCCAATATGGATAAAATACATATCAAAAATTAGAAAAGGGATACCTAATAAAGTTTATAACAACATACACTGAACAAGTTCTCACCATGAACACATCTTAAGTCACAGAAACTATTTATGAGTTGAACTAGACTATGGTCAAACAACAGTAACTTGGAACTGATTATTCAGTTGATGTCATCATAAAGCAATGGTATCAGCAGTTACAAATCTCAGGTTACCAAATCCAATTTGATAAGTTTTCAAGATGCAACAACGAATCCTGCATAACTCCCAATTCAAACTAAAGTTTACAAAGATGCTTAAATATTTATCAAAATACATGAAGACTTTACCTTTTCACTACCAGCTAAATCAACCAGATAAAGTTTTCCACTGAGCTTTTGTTCCGTTTGTGTGTTCTCTTGTTTTACATTAATAAGAAATATACTGTGACTCCTAGAGCTATGTTCATTCATATCTGCAAGGAAATTACACAAATATAAATAAACATGATTTCCTCTTAACAATTTCCCTAAAGCAATCTTATAATTAATCACCTGGATAAGGATATTTTAAGCTGGTTTTAAATCCTAACCAGTGTTATTTTCTACTTACTTGTAACTGCTACATGTCTGTTGGATTTTCCTTCATCTATGGTATCCATAACTTCATCTGGACTACATACAAAACGCTCCGTGCACCCCTGTGAAATAATTTTTAAAAATACATTAATGTCTGGCCAACATAGTGAAACCCTGTCTCTAATAAAAATACAAAAATTAGCCAGGCGCAGTGGGAGATGCCTGCAATCCTAGCTACTTGGGAGCCTGAGGCAGAAGAATTGCTTGAGCCTGGGAGGTGGAGGTTGCAGTGAGCCACTGCACTCCAGCCTGAGCAACACAGTGAGACTCCGTATAATAAATAAATAAATAAGGCGGGTGGATCAGGAGATCAGAAGTTTGAGACCAGTCTGGCAAACATGGTGAAATCCTGTCTCTACTAAAAATACAAAAATTAGCTGGGCGTGGTGGCACACGCCTGTAACCTCAGCTACTCAAGAGGCTGAGGCAGGAGAATTGCTTGAACCTGGAAGGCAGAGGTTGCAGTGAGCCAAGATTGCACCACTGCACTCCAGCCTGGGAGACAGAGTGAGACTGTCTCAAAAAAAAAGTATTACAGGGTTTTTCTAGACAACTGTACTATAAATACCTTTACATAGGGAACTCGGTTTTTGTCTTCATGAACTGAAAGGTTGGTCTTTGAAACTGAAAAAGAAAAATAAATATTAGCAACATTCTCCTAAAACTAACACTGGATGTGAAATAATTCAATTGATAGGCTTCTCTGAGCAGCCTAACAGCAATAGTTGAACTCTAAAAAAAGTGCTAAAACATTGCTCTAAAGCAGACCTTATAGACACAGTAGGAGATCTAAATAGAAACCAATCTAACAATATAGAATTTTAGGACCACTCCAACCTATACCACCCACATTTTATAAACAAGAACGTTAACCGGGAGTGGTTCAATGATTTGCCTAAGGACAACGTATCTAATTGAGAGCTGACAGAATACTAGAACTCAGGGCTCAGATTATGTAACTCCCAGTCCAGTGCTCTAATTACTACTTAAGAAGTACCCATAAACATCGCTTTAAACAAGTTATTCTATTTAGAGGTATTCAACTAAAACTTTAGAAGAAAAAAAAATTCTATTTCCAATAACTTAAGACAGTTTCATACAGGTTACAAAGAAATAGTCTCATATCTACTATTAAAAAGGAATTAACAGATGCTATTTAAAACTGATTAACTAGCAAGAATTTAACTTACCATCTAATAGGTCCCTTATCTTATCCAAATATATTTCAAAATATGAAACCTAAAGGGCAAATTTAAAAAAACATCAATCAACTAAAATTATATAATAACTTACTCACATATTGAGGTCTGAGTGCTAGGCACTGTTTAGACTAGGAGAACAGTTATCAACATACCAGCCATAGTTCACATTCTAATGGGAAGACATAAATTAACCAAATTAGCTTAGTTATTTAAGCAGTCTTCTCACTGGACATAATTCACATTATCTTCATCTAAAACGAATTAGAATAGTTTCGTGTAGTAGAAACTTTCAAGTTCTGCAATAAAGCAACCTCCTTTATTTTATGGAGGAGGCTAAAGACTAAATCATTTAAGTTAGTTAACATTCCTGTTCATCTAATGGCAGATGAACAAGAATCCAAGTTTACTAACGTGAATGATCTTTCAACTATGCCTTTCCATAAAAATAATTTTTAAAATTACTTTAAAGAAACTAGCATTTACTATTTTTTAAGAGCAGTATTCTTGCTGTAAAATAAAATACAAACTTTCCTCAAGGAATTTACCTTAATATGAAATTCCAAATTTTCATCCATGGAGTAAATATAATTAAAAATATCTTGCACTATTCTTGGAATAATTCCCATGCCTTCTGGATCATGAAGTTTACCCTAAACAAAAAACAAAACCAGACTTCTTAGACAAATTATAAAATATGAAGTAAAAACAAAGAGTTTCAATCTACAACTTATAGTCAAGAAAAGATGGGAACTGTATTTTGTGGAAACGGCTCTGTAAATACCTAAAAAATCCAATTCAACTATTACACATACACATAGTACTGTACATCAACCACATGGGTTACCAACAGATCTTAACACTTCATTTAATCACTAGATTTAGATTATCCATGCTTGTAAAATGTTCATTGTAAAATGAACATAATAAAAAAGATTTTAGTTTCTTTCCATAATTCTACATTGCTCCTTCTACTTCAAGGCAAATTCATGCAAATACTAGGATGTCCTTGTTCTCTATGATATGAAAATCAGTAATATGAATCACACTAAAAGCAGTCATTTACTTAATATAGTATAGTCAAATAAATGATAAAAACAGATGCTCTTTAGCAGTGGCAGAAAAATCACAGGCTGTTTTCTAGAAGCAAAGCTATAGTGAGTCCCCATCTATTATTAACAGCAGCACTGATAATTATGGCAACATTCTTATCAGAGAAGACTAAGAGGTAATTTGAGGAAGGAGGAGCCAAGGAGAACAGGAAAAAGTTATTTATACTAAATAGAATCAACAACACATAAGCATTCAAAATTTCCCATATAACAGGGTGATAGAAAATTCTTGTCTAAAATGTTCATTATTTTATGGTTATGCTAACTGATAAAACAATCTCAAATATAATCTCAAATACAGGTATCCCTTACTATTTAAACTCAGGAACTGATTAGATTCCAACAATGATGTTACATGCATATTATCTGTATGAGAAAAGGCAATAAAGAGTAAATTAAAATGTTTATGCATGGTGAAACAGTATCACAAATAATGAATGAATGCTGTATGTATTGCAAACTACATCTAAGCACAGATTATAAAATGTTACCTCCATTGTGTGCGTCTTCCCAGAGGATGTCTGTCCATATGCAAATATTGTTCCATTATATCCTTCAAGTACATCTATGAGAAAATAAGAGACTTTATAATTCAGGGGATTTTCTTCCTTAAGAAAGATTCATAAGAAATTACTTAAACTACAAGATGATAGGGTGGAGAAAAGGTTAAAAAAGAAATTACTTAAAGAATGTTACAGGGAAATGTCAGATGTTTATTCTCAGTGAGGTATAAAAGACCCTAAAAGACACACACACACACACACACACACACACACACACACACAAGCACACACCCTCTTCCTAATCCTTGCATACTAAATTCTGTACAATAAAATATTTGTGGGAGTGGCTGGGTGCAGTAACTCACTCCTGTAATCCCAGCACTTTGGGAGGCCAAGGCAGGCGGATCACGAGGTCAAGAGTTCAAGCCTGGTCAGCATGGTGAAACCCCGTCTCTACTAAAAATACAAAAAAATTAGCTGGGCTTGGTGGCGCGCACCTGTTGTCCCAGCTACTTGGGAGGCTGAGGCAGGAGAATTGCTTGAATCAGGCAGTGAGCCAAGTGAGCCAAGATTGTGCCACTGCACTCCAGTCTGGGTGACAGAGTGAGACGCCATCTCAAAAAAAAAAAAAAAAAAAAATTAGCTGGATGTGATGGTACATGCCTGTAATTTTAGCAACTCGAGAGACTAAGGCACAAGAATCGCTTGAACCCAGGAGAAGGAGGTTGCAGTGAGCTGAGATGGAGCCACTGTACTCCAGCCTGGGTGACAGAGTGAGACTCTCTCAAAAAAACTACCAAAATTATTTGTGGAAAGAGTGGCAAGAAAGATTCAGATTTTCTTTCTGCTAATATGAAAGACTCCATCAAAGTTTAGTACACAAAGGATTTCTAAAGACATTAAAGGAAATATATAACATATATATGTTATAAAAATATATATGTTATATATGTGTGTGTGTTATACATATATGTTATAAATATATAACAATAGTAAATTTCTTAGTGATGACCCATCTAAGCAATTTTTCTGGACCCAGACTGCTTTCTGTGGTCAATTAAGAAACAAATTTTAAATTCCATTGCTTATAATAAAGAATCTCTTCTATCAGCATGTATCTCAAATGTCATTACTCTACATTCCAAAGCTTTATGTGATCAAAAAGAAAAATGTCTTCTGTCAATTTACATACAGATGAGATTTTAGAAACGAGACTAATTGATGGTTAATTAGTAGCTAATCCTCACAAACCCCTACCTTCCTCTTTACCCTACCCACGAAGTATAACACTCAGTCCTACCTCAAAATCAATTACCAAGAAGTTCCTATGAAAAATCAAAATCAATTACCAAGAAGTTTCTATGGAAAAAAAAGTTATGAGACAGGGTCTCCCATCTGTTCAGAGTGCCATGGTACAGTAAATAGCTCACTGGTCACTGCAGCCTCGACCTTCTGGGTGTAGTAAGCTGCCTGCTTCAGCTTCAAGTAGCCAGGACTAGAGAGGCACATGCCACCACGCCTGGTTAATTCTAAAAAACTTTTTGTAGAGACAGGGTCTTGCTATGTTGCCCAGGCTGGTCTCAAACTCCTGGGCTCAAACAACCCTCCTGACTCAAGCCTCACAAAGTGCTGGGATTACAGGCCTAAGTAAGCCCCTGCACCTGACCCTCCTATGAATTTTTTTTTCAATTTTTCTCTAGCTTCTGATATTAACGTTTAAATATATTCCTTTATTAGGTCAAAGGGGGGAAAAAGGCAATCTTTTGATTTCTGACTTTCGAGGATTTTGTTTTTTGTTTTTGATAACAAGAAAAGTACTATGAAATTACATTCTATTCTAGAGGAAGTCAAAATAAAAAGAGAAGCCTCTGTTGGAAACAGCATATAACAGTGAAAAGTAAACCAGTAAGCAAGCCAATCCTTGTTTTTATTATTTTTAAAAGAAAAAAAAACCCCACCATTGGGCACAACTAACTAGATAATAGATTTCCTACAGAAACATTTATTAACGAGAAAAAAGACGTCATTACTTACTTCCCTGAGAAGATTTTAAGAGACTCCAAACATTTGAAACTTTCCTTCAAAATCTTTTCATTTTTCAGAAGGAAAGCAAAATTATTTCATGTATCACATTCACTTCTTCCTCGAAACCAATTCCACAACCCACCCCCAAAATATCTGAGTAAAAGTCTCATCCTATGTGTTCTTACAGTATCTGCATTTAATCATAATACTTACCAATGAGTATTCTGTCAATTTACTTGTTTGCTTTACTCACCAGCCTGTCAACTCCTCAAGGTCAGGACTGTGTTTAACTCCTAACACAGTGCCTGGTACTCCAGAGGAACTCAAATGCTTGTTGAATATTTATTACCATCATCAATGTACAGCATCTTTCTAAAGCCTCCCTCACCCTTTTTAATATACTTTTGTCATTCCTATGAGAAACAGAGGTGGACAACTCTCAATAAGTATTACTTCTTTCATACTTTATCAACAGAAAAAACATATTTAGCTAGTGAGATAACAGCTAAATATTTAGCTAGTGAGATCACGTTTTAGAAAAGTTGCTTTCTCTCTGAACTTCAGCCGCTCCAACAAAATGACTACTTAGGGAAAAGCTCTGAGAATTAGAAGTCATCATATGAAGTTACTATTAACATCTGAGAGCTTACAATGAGTCAGGTTCTAACCATTTTTTATATATTATTATATTTAATCATCACAAAACCCCCTGCACTGTACTATTTGCTTTTTGCTTTTGAGACATTCTTGCTCCGTCACCCAGGCTGGAGTGCAGTGGCGCAATCTTGGCTTACTGCAACCTCTGCCTCCCAGGTTCAAGCAATTCTCCTGCCTCAGTCTCGCAAATATCTAGGATTACAGGCGTGTGCTACCACGCCCAGCTAATTTTTGTATTTTTTTGTGGAGACGGGGCTTCACCATGTTGGCCAGGCTGGTCTTCAACTCCTGACCTCAGGGGATCCACCCGCCTCGGCCTCCCAAAGTGCTAGGATTACCTGGCCTGCACTGTACCATTATTGATGAGATGAGAAAACTGAGACACAGAGAGGTTCAATAAACTTGACTGTAACTCCACAGCTAGTAAGATGAAGTTGAGATGCAAATGCAAATAGACTTGGCTCCAGAGACCTGCTCTTAACCACTGTACTATATATTCAAGGAGCAGAGGAACCAAAATAAACACAAGGCAGGCTACATCTGGAAAAACCAAAGGTGAATACAGTGGCAGTAAGTTCATGTCAGGAAGCCATGGTGGAAAAAACAGGAAATCTACAAAGACCTGATGAGATGTTTATCATATAGTGGGCACTGAATAAATAACTACTTAACACAAGGGAAACAAATCACTCGGATTCAGAATTCAAGAGAATACAAGTGGATAAATCTTATTCAAAAGAAACAATTGTATCTAACAAATCTACAAATAGGGAATGGTAACAGCCCTATATATAATCAAATTATAAACTTGTCCAGACAATTATGAGCGAGTGCAATCTCAATGAACTTGTCAGTGACCCAGAGAGTACTATCTGCTTTCAGGTCATTACTGGCAACTTGCTCATCAAATCTCTATCTCAAAAGAAATTCCAGCTGGCCCATCATTCTGCTGATCTTTGCCTACCAACAATTTCTAACCATGGCTTCCCATCCAATCTGTTTAACAATGATTGTCCCAAGTACAACCTACCATGTATTTAATTGCTTTCCTGTCCTCACACTTCCCTAGGTATCTACCCCTACGCCATCCTTCTCCTTAAATACGTGTATTACTGGTAACTCTTGACACATTCATATCCTTGTCCAGGACAAGTCCCACCAGCTGCTACACACAGTCTCCTCCAAAATGGTACAGAGCACTTGGGTGAAGATAAAAGGAAATCATGGCCAGGTGATACTGACATAAATTACAAAGGTTGCATAGAAGAAGAAAGAGATTATGATAGAAACCTTGTCTTCTAACACTTGCTGGAAGTCTAATTTTGTACAGTAGAAATAGTTGAGACTATGAGTTTATCCCAAATACAACCATGACTGATTGAATTAATAATTTCCTCTAAGAAGACAGAGGACACATGCCGAGCATGGTGGCTCACGCCTGTGATCCCAGCACTTTGGGAGGCCAAGGTGGGCAGATCACCTGAGGTTGGCAGTTCAAGACCAGCCTGACCAACATGGAGAAACCCTGTCTCTACTAACAACACAAAAATTAGCAGGACGTGGTGGCGCATGTCTGTAATCCCAGCTACTCAGAAGACTGAGGCATGAGAATCGCTTGAACCCAGGAGGCAGAGGTTGCAGTGAGCCGAGATCGTGCCATTGCAGTCCAGCCTGGGCAACAAGAGCAAAACTCCATCTCAATTTAAAAAAAAAAAAAAAGGAAGACGACGACGACAGAGGCCACAATTAGCAGTTGATACCCGTTTTGTGTTTAACAACTCCTAGTACCTACTTTGCAGAAAAAAAAATTGAGATTTGGAAAGGTTAGGTAACTTGCCAAAAGTCACACAGCAAGAAAGTGGCATAGCCTGGAATTCAATCTAGGACTGTCTGATTCCTAAGATTATACTCTTACCATATTACAGAGAAGGGAACTATTATCCTGAACACAGTTCCAAACAGTAAAGCAAGATGAAGAAGGGACTGAAATTTTGAGAAAAGAAGAGAAATTTCAGGAAGCTAACGATTTCACCTTAGAACTGCAAATAGTAATAAAGCAGAACAAAAGTAATAGATGCATATATCCTAAATGTTAGGACAACAGACTTCATCTTCTTCTCTTCCTAAAGGTTAGGTACCACTTAAAAAACAATAGATTTTGAAAAACTCTGAGTATGAGCCTATTATTAAGAGATTATGTAACTAAGGATGTACGAGAGAGAGAGAGAGAACTCATCAGAACAGCATGAGAAAGATAAAAGTCCAGGATAAGTAACTCTTAGAAAACCAAAACAAAATAAAAACTAAGGCCCTAAGAAGAACTTTCAAAGTCATATTCAGAAAAAAAAAATGAATGAATGAATGAATGAACCTGCACTGCTTAGGAAAGACCATAAAATATTAACTGATGATATTATAATGGAGGTATTTCTGTTTACTACCATCTTCCACAAATATGATCCTCAAAACAGAACAACAGAATAAACAGTGTTGAGAGAGACTTTAAGGTTGATGTGGATAGTATGATAGCAAAAGAATGGCTTCAAATGAACCCAAGTTTCTAGTTACTAAGGAGGATTACATTCCAAGGATAAAAATCTCACAGCTACTGTAGATTAGTTTTAAAACCCAAAGAGAACAAAGGTAATAGAAGACACAAATGTTACATACATTTTCAAAATGCAAAATGCAATAGATTATGAAATAAGTATACCAAAATTTCATTAAGTAAAGACTATGGTTGAACTAACCTCATTTCCTGTTTGGATATGGTTATTCAATTGGTACTTTGGGCATATACTAGACTCATGCACCAACGCTTGATAAAAGGATTCAAGTTTTTCATCATCTTCTTGTGAGTATGTTGACAAATTAAGGACTAGCCAACTGTATAGGTAAGAGGCTCTGAGGTCTGCTGAATACCCAAACAGTGTGATTTAAATAACTGTCAACAATCTTATTCATTTTAGAAGATTAAGCTAGGGACCATGGCCCATTAAGCACTTTATAAATCATTTAGAATCATATTTTTCAAACTTCAATGCCTTTGACACTTTAATAGACTGATCAAATTGCTGACAGCCAACTTACTAGATCACCCCCGGTAAGATAATTATAAAAATAAAACTCAAAATATGATTAAGAGCTAAAATGAACAAAATGGAATCTGCGCCTTAAAGGTTTGCTCTCCAAAGTGCAAGTATGGGGTGGGGTTTAAAGTAGGCAGCAAGAGATATAAAAAAGACCTGTATATTCAAATTGCCCATGAATTCATGAATCAGTAACTTTCTATGAGTTAGAAAGCTAATGTAATCTTAAACTGTACTGATGAGACAGAAGTATGTCTCAATCAAAGAAATTGTGTTCTACGACAGATCCCTCTGGAAAACCACATGATGCTTACAACATGATGACCCTGTTCTTCTTTGCTGCAGTCATTTACACAATTACAAGTGTTAATTCCCCTTCATTTTACAAAGATTTCAGTACCCAGTTCACTCCCTCTCACCAACACCATTACTGCTGTAATACAACAGTATTGGTGGTTTCAAAGTCTGTAGCAGATAATCCCACTAAAATACCCTGGCCTCTCAGCTCCTCAACCAAATTTTCTGCAATCTTATTCTTTCATTTTTATTTTAAAAACAGAGATGAGGTCTCGCTGTTGCCCAGGCTGGTCTCAAACTCCTGGCCTCAAGCAATCCTCCCACCTCAGCCTCCCAAAGTGCTGGAATTATAAGTGTGACCTACCATGTCTGGCCTTATCCTTTCTTTACTACCTCAGAAGCCAACTCCATGACAACTCCTTTACCTTTTCATTACTAACTGCATTGCTTCCATAATCTCAATTTCAAGTACAGATAATACTCAACTTACAATGGGGCTACTTCCTGAAAAATGTATTGTAAGTTGAAAATACCTTAAGCTGAAAATGTATCAAACACATGTAACCTACCAAACACCATGGTTTAGCACAGCCTACTTTAAAAGTGCTCATAGGCCGGGCGCGGTGGCTCAAGCCTATAATCTCAGCACTTTGGGAGGCCGAGACGGGCAGATCACGAGGTCAGGAGATCGAGATCATCCTGGCTAACACGGTGAAACCCTGTCTCTACTAAAAAAAAATACAAAAAGTAGTCAGGCGAGGTGGCGGGCGCCTGTAGTCCCAGCTACTCGGGAGGCTGAGGCAGGAGAATGGCGTGAACCCAGGAGGCGGAGCTTGCAGTGAGCCCAGATTGCGCCACTGCACTCCAGCCCGGGCGACAGAGCGAGATTCCATCTCAAAAAAAAAATAAAAAAATAAAAAATAAAAAAAGTGCTCATAACACGTACATTGACCTACAATTCGGCAAAACCATCTAACACAAAGCCTATTTTATAATAAAGTGTCAAAAAGTTCATATAATTTATTGAATACTATACTGAAAGTGAAAAACAGAATGGTTGTACAGGTACTAGAAATATTGTTTCTAATGAATGTGTATTGCTTTTCCACCATCATAAAGTCAAACAATTTTAAGTTGTTCTAAGTCAGGGACTGTCTGTATTCACCTTCTATTACTCCATCCAGTACCCTGATTCCAACAAATCTTTGACCCCACTGAGATCTACAACCCACTAATGTAACCACCTTTTTTCACTGCCCTTCAGCCTCCCTCATATCCTTATGCCTGTAACTTAACCACCTTAGATCCCATGGTCCACCATTATAATCACTCCTTTGACTATTTCCTCAATTCTCTTGTCCCCCACTTCCCTCTTTTGTCCTCAATTAGCAAAACTCCAAATGGGCAAAAATTCAACTCTTTCAGCAGCTAACCTCACGTGGGCCCTTAATACTGCCTGGCAATACTCTTACACTGCCTGAATCCATCCATTTCATGCCTTTTCCTAGAACTTCTTCCCCCTTCCTCATCTCCATGATGACTCTCCTCCCTGTATTAGACAATATGGAATTGATATAATGAGTACATCCACATTTTCCCTCCCTTACATCTATAGACCTTCTATAACTCCACTTTATCTCCTGCTACTAGGATGAACATCTGTGCTCCTATGCTATCCTAATCCATCTACTTTTATACTGAATCTCAACTCCTCAAATGTGGTGAATGCCACAACACAGATTTTGCCTCAATCTAAGAAGCAGTTTTTAACAACTACAGCTGTAAAAAAATGAAATAAATCATATCACAAAGTAATAGTCATCCCTTTGATTAAACAGATTTCTACAGTAACTGCAAGTAACTCCAGATAAACAATGAGTACTCTCTAAGCTTTAAAATTCAATGGTTTTAGAAAACATAAAATTATACATATCCTTGTATAAGTTACAGTATTAACTGGAATGCACATACTTTTCTCACCCTTGGCAACCCTTGTTAAATTCCTCAAAGGATATAGGTAAGTCTTTGGGGAAGGAATAACAATGGAATGGAAGAATGATAGACTGCCATTTTCCACTACTTTTTAGAAATGTGTCTAGCCATTTTGTTTTCATTCTCATGCTGTTCTCTTTCTAGAACTGCCACCTTGGAAACTCTCCCAGGAATATCTAATAGAAATGCATCTCTCAAGAATAAGTGTGTAAACAGTTCTCATAATACCCTTAATTAGGTACTGTACATAATCACGGAATTTCAGCAATAGAATACTTACTAATTGTATTTGACCTTTTTATTATTTAAACAACTTTCTTCTGCAATTAACTTAGAAGAAAGGAGCATTAAAATGAAAAAGAGAAAGTTGAGTAAGTAGAAAAGATCACAAACTTACTTACTTATTGCTGAGACAACTCAGCAGGTTAAATATATTTACCTTTAACAATCTTCTTTGCACAATCATTATACACTTGCTCTTGGGATGTGCTTGACTGGAACACCCGATCAAATGCATAAGGCTTGGACTGAAAAACAAAAAAGTGTTTCAACTATACAAATTAAAGGTAAAAGAATCTTTCTAACCTTTACAGATGCCATCATATATTTAATCTTCAAAACAGTATACCTAGTATGCATAATTTAATATCATTGAATCTTTGAAGTAGAAAGGATCTTAGGCATCACCATATACAAACCCATTAGAATAAACTCCAGGAAAACATGAATGGTCTTTAGTCTTTGCTGCAATCCCAGGGCCCAGTAATCACAATTGTAATTCCCGGTAAATTATAATTAGCACTACTATGGCAGCCAAATATTGCTGAGTGATTTTTATTTTTTTAAATACCTATTTAAAGACAGGGTCTCGGTTCTGTCACCCAGGCTGGAGTGCAGTGGCACAATCACTGCTTATTGCTGCCTCAACCTTCTGAGCTCAAGAAATTCTCCCACCTTAGCCTCCTGAGCAGCTGGGACTAGAGGCATGTGCCACCATGCTATGTTGCCCAGGCTAGTCTTGAACTTTTAGGCTCAAGAGATCCTCCTGTCTCAGCCTCCCCAAGTGCTGGGATTACAGGTGTGAAACACCATGCCTGTCCTGCAACAGCTTTTCAACCATTCTTTCATTTAACAAATACTTATGGAATGTGAGATGACATGCTAGAATGATAACCAAGACAGATTCCCTCTGTGCTTTAGTGGAGCATAAGTAATAGTGGGGCAAACATTAAACAATTAAGTGATCAGAATTCTGACTCATACAATTGAGTGCTATGAAAGCGCAATGAGAGCATATAGGAGGAGAACTTAAGTCTACGGGAAAGCAGAATATCAGGGAAACACGCTTGGAGAAAGAACATTTAAGAATGGAAGAATAAGCAGCAACTAATTCATCATCACTCTTTCCAGTATTACTCATGAAGGATGAAAAAGGTTTCGTGTAGAAAAGTAGTCTAGGCATTGGGAGGATGCTTAAAAGATCCTAAGGCAGAAAGAATAGTACAGAATGCAAGAAACCAAGGGAAGTTGTTAAGTTGAAGTACAAGGAGCAAGGATCAAATGCAAATATCAAAACAGTTAAAAAGACATCATCTTATTCTGAAAACAGCTCTGATCTTCCGGACCCCAAAAATGATATTGGGGACTCCATGGACCACTGCTGGAGAACCACTTATATAGTCTGAGGAGCCAGAGGTATTGAAAAAAATAATCAGTAGTGTCCATGTAAGTCAAAAAAAAAAATTTTTCAAGGAGGGAGTGATTATGTCAAACATAGTTGCGAGGCTAAGACAAAACTAAAAAGTACTCAATGACAAAGGTCAGATTGGAATGGATTGAAAAAGAACGGGAGGTAACCAAGTGGAGCAGAAAATCTGCTGTATGTCTAAGAAAGTTTTTTTTTTTGTTTTTTTGTTTTAAAAACTTGTAAGACCTGAGGAACTTTAAATGCTTGCAGGAACAATTTAATAATCTAGGAGAAAGAATAGGTATCCGAAAACAAGAGGTAAGGGGTTCTAGGTATTTGCAAGTATCTGCCTGCTCTCTAGTTTCTTCTAAAGGAAAGAAAGGAAGCTGGTCCCTAAAACACAAAACAATCATGACCCCAGAAAAAGCCCTCAACATTAGAAAACACTTTCTAGGTCTTAGCTGAAAAAGACCTACTACACTCCACATCCCCACCTCAAAGTCTGAAATAAAAGTAACAATGAACCAGACACTCCTAAAGCTGTTCCCAATTCCCCTTTCCCTTGCTATCTCCCAATAGGCTGGAAAGCCAAATACCTGCTAGCTTAGTCTCCCTGCAACTAGTAGTCACATGACCAAGCTCTGAATAATACGAAGTGGTAGTCTGTTTGAGGTCTCTGAGAAGGGTGTTGTTATCCTGATAAAAAGGACCATCTCAGCTGAAACTGCCCTTTCTCCTTCCTGGAATGAATGCCTGGAGCTGTAGCATCCATCTTGCAAATATGACAAATAGAATGATGAAAAGCAACAGCTAAGGATGACAGAGTATAACAGAGTGAGGAACCATGAAGGACCTATATTCAGGCTTTCTGTTATGTGAGAAAAACATCCTCTTATTATTTAGGCCACTATTAGCTGTTGGTTTTCCCTCTAAAGCTGAAAGCATTACTGACAGATATAATAAGCTGATCTCACTTTGGCATCAATTTAAAATAGGCATCAATGTCTGATTATTCTTTAGTTATGACATATGTGAACGTATCCTTTTCTTAGATGCTACTGAAACAAATAACATTCAATTCTACAGGTGTGGCTAAAAGAAATCTATAATTTTACTGCTGACACAAGATATATTCATGGTGAACAATTCTGAAAACAAATGTTGAGTACAATCAAAATAACAATCACCACCCAGAAATGAACCATACTAATAGTTTTTCTATGCAAAAATAAGTTTCCCTCATTTATTCAGCATTCATTCATTTAGTGACTATAAAGATATGAGATACTGTAGATGAGTAACACAATTTTAGAAATAATTAGCACAGACTGTAGCGTTCAAAGAGTAATAGAGGATAAGGCCAGGCAAAAACCTGAATACTAAGTTAAGCTGTATACTTGGATCTAATGTAAGTGATCTAGTGATGTCAGCTGAATTTTATATATATCTACATATATACATATGCGCGCACGCACACACACACACACACATATACTTTTTTAAAACAGTCTCACTCTGTTGCCCAGGCTGGAGTGCAGTGACGCCATCTTAGTTCACTGCAATCTCTGTTTCCTGGGTTCAAGTAATTCTCGTGCCTCAGTCTCCTGAGTAGCTGGGACCACAGGCACGTGCCACCACACCTGGCTAATTTTTGTATTTTTACTAGAGATGAGGTTTTGCCATGTTGGTTAGAATGGTCTCAAACTGACCTCCAGTGATCCACCTGCCTCAGCCTCCCAAAGTGCTGGGATTACAGGCATGACCCACCATGCCTGGCCTCAATGTTTACATCAATAGAAAATAGTGCTCCTAAACCATTTACCAAGAGATATGCCAGACAATAATGTAAACAGCTTCACAATAGTAAACAGTTTTAGTAGTAAAGCCTGCCTCAAAAGTACTTTATGAAGCTGCTTACTCTTGTTACCAACTCAAAGCAAATATACAAACTACCATTACAACCTTACTAAAATAATATAAATGGCAACTATTAAAAGGTAACACACAAACATAAAAATAATTGAGACTGGAGTGATTATCTTTCTAAAAGTTATTGTTCAATAAAAATTAACTCAAGTGCTTAGCATTAAGTTGACAAAACAGTCTTCTTATCTTGACTGCAAATCCAAATTATGATTTTGTAATACTAAGTAAGGCAAATGTTTTAATTAAAGATCTAGCCATAAATTAATGACTGACTCTGGCTTCCTGGAATGAAAATTGACTTTGTAATACATAAAGATTATTTCTAATGGTCTATAATTAAGGCATATCTCTATTTTTCAAATAGATTAAACAAAGAAAAACTCATCTGGACATCTGTATTTTTCAAACCTGGTTTTAGCCTCGAAATTTACATTATGTAACTTTTAATCCCATGTATCTTCAAAGATCCTTGAAGTTTCAGATTTCAATTTTACTAGTAACTCCAAGTCACAAGATGCATTCACATCTGACTGACGCTTTAAGGGGACAAATCAAAAAGGAGTAAATTGATCTCGACTGCATACCTTAGGTTTCTTAAGGGAAGTGATTCCTGTTTTGAGTATGCCCAGGCTGAACACCAAATTTGGTTATGAAGGACACCCTTCTGGCAGGGATATATCTTTCTCTGGAATTCTGAATAGCTGATTATTTCAGATCACTTGGGAGTGTACTATATTAGATTTTCCTTAGACACTATAGTGGGCTAACATTCCACAACTGTAAAGGTATGTGATGATGGTTCCTTCCCTCCTCCCTTTCATTTTTCCCTCTTAAGGTAATCAAGAAGGTCCAAACACCAAATCATTCACTTGAAAAGGGAGAATCTTGTTTTCCTTTAGGCAAGGAACTGGGCAAGATTATCTAATTAGTTTTATTCTCTTCTAATTTCTCTGAACTACCACAACTTGCTTTTGGAAGCCTTCACGGTGTACCATATAAGGAATAATGATTTGTAAAGATACTTAATGATGCAAATAACCATATTCTACTTTCATGGTTCATAAACAGGTGTAATTTTTTATTGATTTTTCTTCCTGGCATTTTTAGCAAGCTCCTAATTTTTTCTATCATTTTTTTTCCTGGTGTTTTCAGCAAGCTCATTTCAAAGACATAAACTGTTTCCCTTGTCCTTGTTTTGCAGGTAACAAGTTCTCTAATTTAAAGCAAATAGTTTATATCACTTATAGACTTTCGTAAAATAATTCATTTCATTCAATGTTACATTTATAACACTTCACCAAGCACTTAATTAACAATAAATTCTGTATTAAAGGCTGTACAGCATACAGAGAAACACTATGAAATTGAAAGATTTGCCTGCCATGGTGTCCTATTAAAATCACTGATTACATGAGTAGCAGGAAAAAAGTTTAGACAAAGTATTAAAAACTGAAGTTAGAAGAAAAATCAGAATCCTTAAAAATTACTTTCTCCATGAGCACTGATTATGCTTCTAACATCATAAACTATTCTTTCAATTTCGATCTAAACAGAAGATTGTGTACAAAATGTTCTTAAATCATGTTTTAAAGAATTGAGTTTTAAATGCTGCATTGCAGCAATTCTCTCCTAAACTGTTCATTATGAATCAGGATTAGAAACTAGTAAAATGAAAAAAATAAACCGAGAAGATTTTACCCAGAGATTTTCTAATTCCGCTCCTCCTGGCTGCTCTTATAACCATTTACAAAATGAAGTAATTCATTTAAAAAACTGAACAAAAATATGAGACTTCAGTAATTAATGTCAGTACTATAGGCAAGAAACTATTTCTGAAAACAATGAACCAAAACATGTTGCCTTTCATTTTTTAAAGCTGTTATTTAGTTGTAATGTATTTTTGCTTACACTTAAAACAAACAAACAAAAACAGGCCAGGCACAGTGGCCCACACCTGTGATCCCAGCACTTTGAGAGGCCGAGGCACGTGGATCACCTGAGGTCAGGAGTTCTAGACCACCCTGGCCAACATGGTGAAACCCATCTCTGCTAAAAATACAAAAATTAGCTGGGCGTGGTGGCGCATGCCTGTAATCCCAGCTAATCAGGCAGCTGAAGCAGTAGAGTCGCTTGAACTTGGGAGGCGGAGGTTGCAGTGTGCTGACATCACCCCACTGCACTCCAGCCTGGGCAACAAGAGCAAAACTCAACTCAAAAAAATCTCAAAAAAACAATCAACCAACCAAAAAACAACTAAAATGCTTATCAGTTTACCTAAAGGTTAACTGTTCATTATGGATTCACAAACCAACAACCTATACATTTATTCCTAATATTAGCGTTTATATAGAGTACTGAAATTTTGAAACAGAACTTATAAGCAACTTTTTCCCAATGGAAACCTAGAATAAATGTATATTTCCTTTATTCATTTTCCTTTAGTTCTTTCTTCATAGTTTATGTCATATCTGGGCCTCATCAAAGGTTACCTTCTAATCTTAATACATTTTATGAATCCTAAATTTTAGCATTCCAACAAAAAGAATCATAGTGATAACTACAGATCTGTGTAAACACAAAATCTGAAGAAATAAGACATTCTTAAGACAAGTGTAAAAGGAAAAATAGGTTTGTTATGTGCCAACCACTGCTGAAGCTGAGTACTGTAAATTACAAAAACTCTTAAGAAACTAATGGCCTCAAGTGTGACAACTAATCTAGGCCTTGCAAGCCTCCAGACTATGTGTAAAATATGCCATCCTAAAGGAAAAGGATTACTGCGCTTAACTACTCCTACTCCGCCTCTGTCGGCCTATGATGTCATTTACACAAGAGGTTTTCTTGTGCACTTGTTAACAAAGAACTGGCCTGACAATCTTTACACAGTAATAGTTGGCAGTTGTTAGTGGCCTAATGACTTGTTTGCCAAAGGCCTACCAAGGAGCTAAGACATTCATTTTTCGGAGCTGAACTTTGGAGAAACTTTCACATCAAAACCCTAAAGAACTTTAGTCTGTCTTCAGTGTCAATGCTTTCAATCATCCTTGTCCCATCTCCTGTGACCTCTGCCCTATTTCCAAATTAAATAGCCCCATACAATTATTAACTACAGAATGACATTAGAGGAAAAATTAACATATTAAAATTTCATACTACGGTAACAACGTAGAAAGTTAGTTCTACTACATAGCATTGCCAAGAAAGACCAACATAATTTAGTCACAGTTCACTGTTTCGTATGCCATACTTTACAATTAATTTTTAATCTCCTTCAACTAGGAGTGCTATTTTCTCAGACCTTTCAATGCCAGCGATCAGACCTTAAAAAACCCTCACATTCTGGTGTCAAATGATCACTCAACTCTAGTTATGTTTTACATTACAAAAAAACAGTATCTCACTATTCTTGGGATTACCAAAGATCAATTTTCTTCAAGATAGACCTTAATTGCAGAAGTATGAATCTAATACTGGTCAATTTTTATCTTTTTTATAAGCTTGTTTTTATAAGCTTGTATGATATAAAAACAAAAAGCTGATACTTTTTCCTAGGCTGTTATCCCATAAAACCTAGCAAGAGTGCGATTTGTCTTTCGGAGCACTTATCTGACCCAACCAAAGTCGGCTAGGTCTGCTAGATTAAACAAAATTGATCATTCCGATTTATTTAAAAAAAAAAAAAAAAAGCTCAACTATTTCTTTCTACAATCATCCATTTACCATTTGTAATTGTTAACATGAAAAGTCATTCACCACTCAAAAAGTGGTGGGTGAAAGTTTGAGGTGTAGATAATATTTGCAGCTGTTTGTGCTTTTTCCTTCTCCCAGGGGGAAACAACACGGTTCAAGGACTGGTTATGTTTCTATAAAACTAAGTATCTTTACTAAAGCATAATACGGCTTGTCTCACAGCTCAATGTCCCCAGCTGAACTTTATATAAGCATTACATATTTTCTGAATGGCAAATTTGAGGTTAATCCAAAACACCAATATCCGTAATTGCACACACAGAAACGCAGACAAACGTGCACTGAAGTTGCTCCCCGGACGTTCCTCCGTTGCCCCAGGTGGGGGAGTGTCCAGGGCTGAGGCTGGGCGCCTCCCGTCTCCCGGCGCCGAAGACCGGGGTGGGGGCGATCCCGGAACGCACGCGAAGCTGCGCAGTCTTCCTCCACTGGGTTATCTGAACCGGCAAACCCCGCCGGGGAGGGCTGGGGACACCGCTGCTCCCTTTCAATTCTGCACCCTGCCACTTCCCTAAACTCTCGGCACAGGCCGGCCCGAAGAAGCGGGAGGAGGGGTGCCAGAGGGGGTCACTCACCGCGATCACGACCGTGTCTTCTCCCTGAAACTTGGCGACGTACTTGTCGCCGCGGTTCACCTCAGACTCGTTGAGAGGTCTGAAGCGACACATCACTTTGATGTTGCATTCGGCCAGGTCCGCCATCTTTCTCGCAGCCGGGGCCGGCGGCCGGGAGCCAGTCCCGGCTGCTTAGTCTTGCAGGGAGCGCGACGGGGCTAAGGGCCTGGGGTCGCTAGGGCCGTGAAAGGGAGGCAGCAGTCAGCTGCGCTGCGCAGCGCTTCCCCGGGCGGAGGCGGCCGGGGAGCCGGGACTCGAAGAGCCGGCGCCGGCAGCCGTTACCCTAAGGCTCACTTCCGATCCATCATGGCAGCCATGGCGGCGGCGGCGGCACCGGGGAGAGCGTCGGCGGCTCCTCAGCGACGCCCTCGACGGCCTGGGCGTGCTACGGAGGCTGGGGAGGTTCTGGGGGCCGGGAGAGTGGCCACCTTCTTCCTCCTCGCAAAGAGCAGACCGGGCCTACCCGTCCGCCCGCTCTGCTGTCCGCTGGCCGGCTGGCCGGCTGCTGCCCTATCACTCTTGAGGCCGCCGTAGGGCGACTGGGCGGTGCGGGAGGAGGAGTGCGCAGGCGCGGTGGGCCGGGAGGCCCGGCGACCAATCCGTGCCCGCGCTCGCAGCCGGTCGCTGCGGCCGCGCCGCCGGTTCCGCCACCACTCCTGGCCCGGAGTTGCAGATTCAAATTTTACAGCACTGCCCGTCTCGCAGAAGTGCCTGGGGACGCAGGGCGGCAGCTCCCAGTCGCCATCCCCAGCCGCCGAAGAATACCCCAGAGCTAAGGCAGACGTACTTAGCTTTCTTTTCTTTGGGGGAGAAAGGGTTTGCTTTAACTACTTAATGTGGTTTGTTTAAATAAATCACTAGGCTGGTCCGGGTGCGGTGGTGTTTGCAACTAGTTGATGACAGCCAGAGATTTGTTTCTTCTCCACTCCCGCTGTGTCACTTGACCAGCTTTAAAATTAAAAACATAAAGTACTATATTCCTAAAAGGAAGTGTTGCTTTCATTTTTTTCTGGCGGCGGGAATCATTCCTGGTCTACCTTTTTAGAGCGCGTTGCCAGAAAAAGTAAGATTTCAGTGAAGGGTAACTGAGAGTGGGATGTAGGGAGACAGGAATAAGACAGAAAAAGGAAAATTTTCCTGAGGAATGAAGAAGGTTGCTGAAGAAATGTGGAACAGCAGGGTGAGGAGGGGGAAGAGCCCTCAGCCCCCCTCACACAGCATCTCTGTCACTTCATCTGCCCAGTGCCTTGTATCCAGCCCGCACCCTCTTCGCCCCCACGCAGTTCAGCGAATTCCCGCCACTTCGCCGGCAATGAACATACGGAACTCATCAATCCCAATACTGGAGGAATGACTGACCTGGAGCATAAAGATGGTCTTTATAAAAGGCCTAGGTAAATTTGTGCATTACATATCCAAGGAAAACTACTCCATAGCTGATTTTGCCTTTTAGTTTTAGAAGATGAGTACCATAAAATTCCACGGGGAAGTGGATCTGAGGAAGTGGCTCTGAGGTGCTGCGGAAGAACTGCAGTAACAACTCCTCCCCCTGTCCCCAATTTCTGTTTGTAAAACGAAGGATTGAACTATGAAAACCTCCAGGGCTCCCTGTGCTCACCCAATCATCCTAATACCTCCAGAAACCAATTCAGAGTTCAACAGATTCAGGTTTATTAATCCACTGCCTTGAAGAAGAGCTCAAGCTCAAGGAACCTTAGAGCATCTCACCAAAGAAAAGAATAGATGGAATTAACCTGGGGCTTTCTGGGAGGTGTGGAGTTCTGATAACATTTCAATGATGCAGTGTTTTGAGAGGCCCCAAGCAAGGCAGAGCTGCAAGTAAAGGCATTAACATCAGATCTGGCCAGGAGTGGTGGCTCACGCCTGTAATCCCAGCACTTTGGGAGGCTGAGGCAGGCGGGTTACCTGAGGTCGGGAGTTTGAGACCAGCCTGACCAACATGGAGAAACCCTGTCTCTACTAAAAATACAAAAGCAGCTGGGCATGATGGTGCATGCCTGTAATCCCAGCTATTCAGGAGGCTGAGGCAGGAGAATCACTTGAACCCGGGAGGCTGAGGTTGCACTCCAGCCTGCGCAAGGAGAGCGAAACTGCATCTCAAAAAAACAAACAAACAAAAATCAGGTCTGGACTACAGTGGACCCCAGGTTCTGTTTCTTTGAATACTAAAGTTAAGATGGATGGGAAGGGTTGTCTTCAGAAACCCCTTTTTCCAAAGCTCTTCACCTGACTTGGAAGTCAAGGCTGCTTCTCTGTGTCTTAGGTCCTCCAAGTAAGAGTGGAAGGTTTTATTCTTACTGATATAATTTCAAGCAACAGTTTCTAATAGTCTATGATCTTTGTAGAATCGGTTTTCTCAGTAAGAAATCAGTAGGCCAGGCATGATGGCTCGTGCTTGTAATCCCAGAACTTTGGGAGGCTGAGGCAGGGGGATTGCTTGAAGCCAGGAGTTTAAAACCAACCTGGGCAACATAGAGAGACCTTGTCTCTACAAAATAATAAAATTAGCTGGGCATGGTGGTGAGTGCCTGCAGTCCTAGCTACTACAGAGGCTGAGGCAGGAGGATCGCTTGAGCCTAGGAGCCAAGGCTACACTGAGCTATGGTCATGCCACTACACTCCAGTCTGGGTAACACAGCAAGACCCTGTCTCAACAAAAAAAAAAAAAAAAAAAAATTAGGTAACTCAAAGAAGGAGTTTGTGTGACACTTTATAAATGTAATATGTCCTTAAGAGAAATACTCTTTTCTGCTTACCTTTCAGCTGGCTTTACACTCTGTTAGTCCAGTCTAATCAATGAAGGTAGAGTCTTACTTTGTCACTCTTTCAGTCCTAGTATTCTTTACCTGGTTCCTTCATCATATCTATATCCTGTCATCCTTATCTACAATTGCAGAAAAAGTCAGCACTCTCCCTCTCAAAAACTAATTTCTCAGTTGCATTCAAAATTCTTTCCAACTTCGTCCAATACCTGGATCTTACCAATGGCCACCATCTTATTCCATCTTTGATTTCTCCCTTTTCTTGGCTTCCCTGGAGAAAAAAAGGGAAACAAATACGCTCAGCCACCCTATCTTTAAAACAACAATGAAACCTAACACCTTCATTGGTTCCTGTTGACTAGTTGCCTTCTGTCAAAGATAAAACAAGCCAGACACTAGTTAAAGTGGTATCAACAGATTTTAATGCATAACACACTATTGCAATGGGGAAAATAAGCCAGAGTCAACAGAACTCAACTTTGACTTGTACAGAGGTAACTAGATATTTTAAAGGGAGCACAGAGAACTACAAAGGGGGATGAGCTGGAGCTCAGTAGAGCCCGGGAAGTGAAAAATTACAAAAAGCAAGAAGTGGGGGTTGGTCCACATGGAACCCATCTGGGTTCGCTAACTGATCCTTATGGAGATTAGGCTCCTGCACTCCCACAGAACCTAGGAGACAGGGTGCCTATCTTCAGGTATTGGTTGGAACAAACAGTATCTTTTCTATAGTCTTGAATTTTCTCAGGAGGCCACTTTAAAGGAAGTAAGGGTCATCCCAGGAATGTGACCTTGAGCTGTTAAACTATGTTCATGTTTTGTTCAAGTCTTTATAGGCCACGGTTGAGGCCTACTCAACAAAGGCTCAGAGGAACCTGGCTAGAGTTTGGTCAAGGGGAGAATCTTTGCCACTTCTTGCTGCCATTTAGTGAGTGAAATTGACTAGAAGGGACTGTGATTGCTCAGAGGCAGTTCCATCTGAAGACAGCAGTGGCTATGCAGCTTCTACCACGTGAGAATTGTGGGCCCAACACTACCAAGTTTTCCTTTTTCCAGAAAGACATAATCCAGATTTCCTTAAAACTCTCAATTTTTAACTTCAATTGGCCATCAATTTAAAAATAATTTAAATAATGCATGAACTAAGTAAAACATCCCTGTGGGCTGGATGTGGCAGGTGGGCCTCCAGTTTGCAACCTTTGAGCGGGATGTGGTGAGGGCTCTGTCCCCAGCCTTGGCTCTCTTATCTCTGGGCTCACTTCTTTAACAATTGCTGGAGTCTCTTACCTACAACTGATGTTTTCATCTGTGTGACATTGCCATCTCTCCAGCTGCTTACAGGCTACCTTGTGTAGAATGCTGTACCGTAACCTCAAATTTAGCATTCCAGAAATGAAACGAATTATCCCCCACTCCCTGCCAATACTTAATTCATGACTGGTGTCAGTATTCTTCTATACTTCCAGGCTAAGAAAGTTCCAATCACCTGTAATTCTGCTCTTCCCTTTATCCCCTATACATGCAAAAGAGAAACATGGTAGTCTGTATTTGAAGCTCCTGAACTTCGACTCTACCATTCCCCTATGTTCCTCAACTCAGAAGACCTGAGGATTGATTGATCTAGAGCAGTGAGTTTCAAATTCTACTCCATGGAAACAGAGGTTCCAAAGAGGTGACTGAGGACACATCATGCGTGTGGGCAGGAAAGGAGGTAGAAGGAAGGGAGTGAAACTCTGGGAACCTCTGCTACTGAAGGTACTGGCCAACTTCTGTTGCCTTTCAACCCCTGCCTCTCTCCTCTTCCTGCACAACAGATTCTGGAAGCTCAGTCTTCATAAAAATAAAAACCAGAGGCTGGGTGCGGTGGCTCACGCCTGTAATCCCAGCACTTTGGAAGGCCAAGGCAGGTGGACTGCCTGACCTCAGGAGTTC